CTCTTCGTTTTCTACAAAGTCCCTCCTTCCGACAAGCGCAGTCTGCTCTGATTGGCCAGCTGACCCAGTGCATTGTGATTGGCCGAACACCGCAAGCACTCGTCGGAAATGTAACGCCCCTTACCATAATCGCGAGCTTCATCTTTCAAAATAAATGTAAAGACAGAGCCCGAAAGGGGAACAGAGTCGCGTGACAGACACAGTGATGAAGCTGGTATGTGTTTGTGACGTGACCCTCCCTCTCTCTCTCTCTCTCTCTTTCTCGCGCTCTCTCTCTCTCTCTCTCACGTGCGCTCACTCTCTCGCTCGCTCACACACACACACACACACACTGCGCAAAATTCCGCATTTAAACAGTCAATAGCAAATACTTGAACTAATAACAAAACAGTAGCTGATTCAGAAGCGCCAGATTGTCATAGCAAAGTCAGAATTACCTCCTCTCCTAGGTTCACGAAACGGTCGTCCATAAAATGCATTGCTGTTCTGTTGTAAGTGATCTTAAAGATTCCTAAATGCATCTACTTTCGGAAGGCCAAATAAAGTGCTTTTGCTTTCGCCTAGAAACACACAGCGTCTCCCTGAATGGCTGCTTCAACACTAACTGCGGTTACTGAAACCACGCCTTCTTTCTTTGCGTTAACATTTGGGCGGCATTATGCTAATATTTCCACATAGTGAGGTAGATATGTGGGGGCGTGTTAGAACGAGCCGTTTTAGGGGGGCGTGTCAGTCTTAACTTTGATAAAGAATATCTCTTTGGTTTTGAGACTTTAGTCTTTGCAACTTCAGGGATCGTATCTATGCACAATCAGCTTGTAACACTCCAAAGAGAAAGGAAAACTTGAAATCGCATCATATGACCCCTTTAATACGGAGGTAAGATTGAAAGCAAATACATCTAAACTTTTCTGAAGACAGTCAGTTCCCCTCAGAGATACATTCAGATAAACTCCCACTCCTAACTGCATCGCATCTCAACCGACTCGTCACATAAGTTCATATATTTTCAACTAGCTGGGTGTGCATTGTTACATCCCTAACGATGCTGAATAAAAAATGTGGAAACATATTTGATTTACTAATATAGTTTTATCAAATACTATTTTCAAAACTGACTAATCTGTAACTATAAAATGTTATTTGGACAACCAGTTAGTAACTTAACTGCTTTGAGTGAAGTGAGCTATATGTGGTTTGATTCACTAAAAAGCTCATAAGAGTCTTTCATTCAGCAATCGGTTGGACTGATTTGATTGAAAAGAACCTTTTCATATGAGTCATTTGTTCAAGAATCAGACTAATCTGGTTGTGCTGTATGGTTTTGATTGAGCTGGCTCATATTTAGTAGTCCATTCGAGAATCAGATTCAGTTGTGCTGTTTGTTCATAAGAGTTTCATCATTCAGGAATCGGACTAAACTAGTGCTGCACGGTTTTGAATCAATAAAAAGAAGCGGCTCATTATAAAGTAATTCACTCAGTGTGGTTTTGATCCTTTTAAAAGAACTGTCTCACAAGATCACTGTCTGTTTCGTGCTGTAGATTCATTACAGTGTTGCATCTGATAAGAATCATGAGCTAGATAAAACAATGCAATAATCAAATATAATATAAATGATCATGAAATTAAAACTTACTAAATCATATTAAAAGGAGAACTTATTTAACGCATAAAATAATAAAAAAAGAACATACCGGTAGGTTTTACACCTTTTACATTTTCATCATTCTGCATTGATTCGAAGTGTTGAGTCCTTATTAGTCTGTTAGTTTAGTTTTTTGGGGTGGTTCAGGCTTTGCCCTCCTTTCTGCACTGAATGCCAGAGATGTTTTGTAAGGAGAGAGCGAGAGATCTGCCAAATCACCTTTCACTCCAAGCACTGTAAACCTTTTCTGTCTTTGCATTTTGTTCTGCCTTCTCTTCTACAGCTCCACCTCATCTGGCGATTCACATGTCAAATCTATCTTCCCTCTCCCACTCTCTTTCTCTCCCTCCCTGGCCCCTCGTTCACTCCAGGCCCTTCCTGTCATTCTTTACTGCTTTCTTTCAGACTGTTGTTTTATAACACTACATTTTTATGCTCTGGGATTTTGCTGAAAGCTGCTGGCTCATTCCTGTTCTGCAGAACATTGTGAACTCTGTAACCCTGCATCAATGTGCTTTAATTTAAGGAAGTGTTTCAATAACAGGGTGTAGCTGACTTTAACTTGACATAACTTGATTATTTACTCGAGGGCGATACAATTTAGAGGATGCCTGTAAGAGGATTCAAATAAAGAGATAAAGTTAATCGTTGCTTATTGGGTGTTATATAGTTAATTATGAATATTTTTATAACCGTCCGTTGTCATTTTGATATCATGATTTCTGTAACTTCAAATAGTTTGCTAATATTTGCTGATGTTTATACAGTTTTTCCTTCCAAAATGATGCCACTTCCTAGAGGATAGGAGCTAGCTTTTATTAATTAAGGTGGTTTTACAAAAGACTAACTAAAAGCTTATAGGGAAACAAACTATTAATGAAGTGACTAATTAAAGTAGTTTCCCAAGGAAACATGTTTATTTGAAACATTTTGATGAAAATGAAATTTTTTTAGTATTATTTATGTACTATTATAGTATATATATAATTTTTTTCCGTTTTAATTTTAGTAATTTTGTTATGTGCTTTTGTCTTTTTTATATTTCTATTTAGCTTTTATTTTTATTTCAGTTTTAGTCATTTAAACTTATTTGATTATTTGTCATGGCAACATCTATAACTTCCAATTTTTAAAAATCTAATATTTATATTTTATTTTATTTCAACTTTATTTCAAGTAATTAAAGCAATTTTTAATCGTATACTTTTAGATAACTATAACAACACTGTTTTAGAAGTTGGAAAATTCTGCCCTACATTCAGTTAATTGTGGTTGTAACGGGGCTGACGAGACGTGAGACGTGTGGATCCATCTGCAAGCTTTTATTTCAGAGACCTAGTCATAATAGGCAGGGTCGAACAATGGCAAACAGGTATATGGCGGGTAAAACACAAGAATAGTCCTAGGGCTAGCGTAGGTCACTGATCGGCAAACAGAATCACAGGGGCGAGACGAGATGGATAAATCCAGGAAAACAGGCAAAGATCAGAAACCGAGAAAACAGGCAAGGCAAGGCAAGGCAAGGCAAGGCAAGACAGAGACTCGGAACAGGGTACAGGCTAAACAATACTCAGCAGAGAATGGTTGTTTGAGTGAGTGTTATATAGTGAATGTGTGATTGATGACAGCTGTGTGCAATCAGTGCTGTGTGCAATCAGTGCAATGGCTGATGGGATATGTAGTCCGGGATGACATGCAACAGTTTGTGTTGTGCGAGAGTCAATGTAATGGTAAGGGTGACATCTGGTGGTGATTGAACGGAAGTCCATGGACAGGATTTGTGACAGTGGTATTGTTAACGGAAAACTAATCTTAAAGTACTTTTACTATCTTTTCCAGTATATTAAGTCTCAAACATAAACTATAGTAAGTATGAGCCTGCTGTGTTTTTCTGTCTCAATGCTTCACTCTTTCTGGCCTCTTTCCATTACACTTTTCTCTTGCGTGTCTGAGTCATTTTTCCATTCATTTTATAATCTTTTCAGTCCTCTTGTATCTCTTCTGGTCATTTCTGTTACCTCCCTTTCTCCCCCTTTTCCCGTTTGATTGCACCTCCCTCTTGTTCAGACCATGACGCCCATGTCCAGAACAGAGAACATTCCATGGAAGCAGAACAGAGCAGATTCCAGATGTCCTGTGGTGGCTCACGTTGATGACATCACTCTATAACACTGCTTTCTTTTAAAGTGACCCAAACAACCGTATCAAATCCTGGAACAGTGTGTTCATGCTCCCTCATGACTCTGTCTCTCTCTCTCTCTCTCTCTTCAGATGACACAGTGTACATGGAGGGTGAGAAAGAGCTGAAGGAGTATGTCTTAAATGACACTGGAAGAATCTACTATGGCACTGAGAAGCAGATCGGAGCTCGTACATGGAACTTCGGCCAGGTGTGGAAAGAAATAAAGCACTAAGAATAAAGCAGAACAAAGCACTTTCTCAGGGAAAAGCATGCTGCTGAAAGATCCTTGTGAGAACTTCTTGTGTCATACAAGGAAGAAAGCACATTGCAAACCATAACTGAGACACAGATATCAAACATAACGGTTTATGTACACAACTGCCAATGATTGGTGAACTGATCATTTGAATCTTAGTAATTTTGTTATGTCCTTTTGTCCTTTTTTTTTTTTATATGTCTATTTAGGTTTATTTTTATTTCATTTTTAGACAATTTAGTACTTCAACTTAAAGGCACAGTATGTAATTTTTGCCGCTAGAGGGTGCGTATTCAAAATAAACAAATAGACAAAGGCGTAGTTTGATGACTGCGTGTGGAATCATGGGAGTTGTGGTCTTCATCCCCCACAGCCGATGCAATCCGACGGGACTCGGGCAGAAATCATGTTCATGGATGAGCTAATGATTTATTAACAGAGTAGAATGAAGCAGGGTGAGGCTGAAAGCCGTCGAAGCGAAACGAGGCTGCTGAACGAGCGTGACACACGGCTCGAAAGCAGCGGAGCTTTTATTATGCCACAGTCGACCGCTTCCGCTCCTTCCGGTCGTGCGTATGTGGGGTAAAGCAGCGCTGTTTTATCATACTAGATACATTTGAAAGTTCTGTTATAATGCTACTCTGTGCGGTCGTCACCAGTCTATTAAAACGCACAACATATTAAAAGCGTCTTTGGTGTTTCCATGTTTTCTACAAAACAAAAATCAAAGGGTTATGACGTCATTGGCAGGCGACACAATGACACTATAGACACGGTCCGTGTCACTTCTTCGAAACATTTGGGATAATGTAAGTACACAAGTCAGCAAACACTGTTCTAGTGGTTTTTGGATATTTTAATAAAAAAATCGTACATATTGTACCTTTAAATTTATGTATTTTAGCTAGTTGGCAAAGCAGCATTCCTTATTTTCGTTTCTGATTTCAACAAATATTTACATTTTATTTCAGTTACCAAAAACTATTTTTAGTAGTTTCAGTTAACAATAACAATTTTTTTTAATAACAGTTTTAGTTAACAATTATACTATTTTTTTTGTTTAGTTTTTGTTTGTTTTGTAAGTAACACCACATATCACAAAAACATGAAGCATACCCCGCCGGAAAAGACAGCGTATAAAGCACCGAACCACAGTTTGTTTTGTTTCTATGTCGCATTTACAGTAAATCTGACATCAGTTATACCACAACTATATACTGGCTTGGAAAATAAAACTTGATTACTGTGCTTACAAAAAAAAAAAGTGTTAACATTTCAACCAGAATTTGTTTACTTAACAAAGCCAGATTTTGGCAAATTTTGGACCCTGTTTAGACTTGAGATTTTACCTGGTTGTCTCTCTCTCACACCCAGTTTGATGAAGGAATTCTGGAGGCCTGTCTGTTTGTGCTGGATAATAGCGAGGTTCCTCCCTCGGGTAGAGGAGATCCTGTCAATGTGGTCCGAGTCATTTCTGCCATGGTGAGTGCCGCCACATCCAGCAATACTGCTGGAACAGATTTGGTAGAGAGTGCCAGATTATTCTGATACTCTTAACAAAGACTCTTTATCCTCCCTGACCTCAGAAACCCCTAGTGAATTTATTTGATTGCCTGTTCTAGATCAATTCCCCGGATGACCGTGGCGTTCTGGAGGGAAACTGGTCTGGGAATTACGCGGGTGGGATGTCTCCCTCGGCTTGGAGTGGAAGTGTTGAAATCCTCAGGCAATACCACAAAGAAGGAGGAACGCCTGTCAAATACGGCCAGTGCTGGGTGTTTTCTGGGGTCACAACCACAGGTATGTATGTGTGTGTGTGTGTGTGTGTGTGTGCATGTGGGGGTTGGTGTGTGTTTGTGTGTGTGTGTGTGTGTGTGTGTGTGTGTGTTTGTGTGAGAGTAGATAACAGCCTCCATTTGCCATTCTCTACCATAGTAAAACTTGTGGTTAGTGATACAGGATTCCAGTTTGTAGGCATATACACCCTTAAAATAAAAGTTATTTATTGGCATTGATGGTTCCATGAAGAACTTTGACTGTGGGAAAAAATCACAGATAAGTGGAGTACGTATCTAGCCTTTCTAAACCTCGCCCAACCCAATATCAGCAAACCCAAACACAAAAGAGAGCGATTGAGATTGTCTAAAAAAGTGTAGGTGCTCCCCTTTCTTTTTTGCTGTTTATAGAGTCTGTAGTCACAGTAAATCAGATTTACTGTAATCAAACAGAAGTTCAGTGAATATTCACTAAAAATTATATACAGTAATGTGAAAAAAAAGAATACTGTACAAGTGAAATGAAACATATTATTCCTAAAGTCAACATTATTGTCTTTCTTAAAGAGCAGGTCATATGATATTTTAAAGTGTCCTAATATTGTGTTAGAGTCACCTACATCAGGTTTATATGCATCTAAGGTCAGAAAACATTGTAATTTTCTCAGAATATACATTTAATATTAGAGTAATTTGCCAATGCAAATTATCCCGTCCATAAGCTTACTCTGCTCTGATTGGTCAGCTGGCCAAGCCTGCTGTGATTGGCACAGAGAGGAGTCCTTGAGCAAGTTAGCGAGTGCTACCATTGACAAAGCACCTTTGCATAAAACAATAATATAGTGCTATTATCCGTTCTTATAATAATGACATAAAATACAGAACACTTATGCAAGCGAATGCCCACAGCTAAAGTTTAGCTGCTAAACTGTGAACACTTAAAACAATAATGGTGGATACGTTAGCCGAGTGCTAACGTGACTAACTGATGAAACAATACAATTTGTAAATCAAAATATGTCTACTGTAATGTTTGAAGAACGACAGACAAAATAAGCTCTGTGTCTTAAATTTAAAAATGGAAAAGCATGAATTGTTAGTTGATAGTCAGTATGGATTTAAGTCGAACAGATCCACATCCATGGCATTAATGGAGTTAATTGAAAATATTACTAGTACTATAGATAATAAGAACTATGCAGTGGGAGTATTTATAGATTTGAAAAAAGCTTTTGATACAATTGATCACTGTTTATTAATCAATAAATTGGAAAATTATGGTATCAGAGGGGTTGTACTTGATTGGATGAAAAGTTACATAAGTAACAGACTTCAATTCGTACAAATTGGGGAACATAGATCAGAGTGTTTAGATATCATATGTGGAGTCCCACAGGGGTCGATTTTGGGTCCAAATGTATTTATATTGTATATAAATGACACATGTAGGGTGACAAATCTCTTAAAATTTGTGATTTTTGATGATGATACTAATATTTTCTGTGCTGGGGAAAATCTGCAGCAGCTTTTGGAGGTGGTCAGAGCAGAAATTAATAAGATAAAAATGTGGTTTGACTTGAATAAATTATCGATAAATTTAGATAAAACTAAATTTATGCTGTTTGGAAACCGCAAAACTGATACACAAGTAAAAGTAATGATTAATAATGTTGAAATAGAAAGAGTATATGAAAATAAATTTCTAGGGGTGATTCTTGATTACGTGATGACTTCAGGGTGATCCTGAAGGAGGGAACGGAGACGTCACGTCGGAGGACCGACGAATTGGGATCTTGCTTAGAGGGACCAATCTACTTCGAGTGTAAACTAAACGTGTAATGTATGTTAGTACATTCATGTTGATTTATTCATCTTTTTGTGCAGTTAAGTTTAGAAACCAGTCTGATGCATCTGTGTGGGGACGGGGGCTGGAGGCTTCATGGCAATCATAATAGTCATTACAGAGTCAGAAAACACTGATAGAGGCATCTCATAGACAGGGCTCTAGCCCCGGCGCCTGGTCAGGAAATGTCATGTCCCTTACCATAGTCGCCTGCGAGCTTCAGTGTAAATATTGCGTCAAAATCAAATCAATTTGAGCGCGATTTAAACGCGGATGATTGTAACCACTCTAAGTTCGTCTGCCTTGGGAAAGCTAGCTTGTCTCCGACATAGTGATAACACTCGTTGCCTTCTCAAGTGCAGCTCAACCAGGTCTCATCCCATTCGTCGATATTTGTGATATCACAAATCCCGGAAAATATGCGTTGTAGTCCAAACGAGTCGTTCGTTGTAGTTTTTGAAAAGTGATTTCTGTTAAATAAAATATCTTCTTTTGAATTGGACTTTGAGCTTTGTAACTTTGCAGATCTTTTTAATGCTCAAACAGCAACATTACAGACTAACTAAAGTTGAAAAAGTGAAAAAGCATAATAGGACCCCTTTAACTAGTAACTTTACAAATCACAAACAACTGACATACAAGCATTGTAGTAAACATTTTCAGAAGTCAGTCTTGCTAATTGAAGGTTGCTTTCTGTTTTCTACAATCAGCTTTTAACGTTTTACACATCAAAACGTACATGGTCAAATATAATATCGTAGATACTGGGAGGGTATATAATGTCATAGGAATTCACAAATCAACAAAATATGCTATTGATCCGCCAGTCGCAGGCTATCTTTACTGCACTCAGAGTCCTGTGACATTCATAGCTGAACTCAGTTAACAGCACTGTGACCCCCGAAGAGAACTTCAGTTTAAAATACTCTCGTCTGCATACTGTTCATTCCACACACAGATATTAATAGTATTTGACTCTGCATGAGACGCTTGCACTTATTGCTTGACTGTCACAATAGTTTAATTTGATATGATATACCCTAGCATTCAAAAGTTTTTTTTAATGATATCTAAAATATCATATCTAATCTAAAAAAGTTCAATCCAAAAGTATTTAGTGAAAACATTGTGGGAGATTAGCCGAAAGGCTGTCGATTCATTAAATGATGAGCTGTTTCCTCTAAAAAGCTGTTTATTCAGCATAGTGAAGCCTATCCTCCATTGACATTCATTCATTAAAAAAAAAAAAAAAACGGCCTCTGGTCTACTTTCCTACATACTGGCAAACCGGAAGCGTTAGCATTAGCCATTAAGCTTTTTTGTCTAAAGGTTGCAGGCTTGCTTTCTAGTGGCTTTGTTGCTGCTTAGGAAACATTGCTTATTATTATCAGTGCTGAAAACAGTTGTGCTGCTTCATATTTTTGATAAATATATTTGATACATTTAACATTTTTCAGAACTCTTTGATAAATAAAAAAAGAAGAGTTTAAAGAACAGCATTTATTTGAAATATAAACCTTTTGCAACATTTTAAGTGTCACTTTTGTTCAATTTAATGCATCCTTGTGGAATAAAAGCAATAATTTCTTCCAAAAAGCCCAAATGTTTGTACGGAAGGGTATTTTATTATATTGAATATTTAAAAAAAATGAATAACTCATGCTCTTTCTCTCTGTATCTGTCCCAGTATTGAGATGTCTAGGTATTCCTACGCGTTCCGTAACTAATTTCCAGTCTGCACATGATACGGATGTGTCCTTGACAACAGATGTGTATTTTGATGAGAACATGGAACCAATCCATCATCTCAACTCGGACTCTGTATGGTGAGCATTTGTGCTTTTTCATGGAATAAGTCCAAGACTGCTGTTGTATCGGTATATCATTACTCATTCTTTAATTAAGTCTTTCTGAATCCCTGATTTCCTCTCTTTTCTTCTGTTGTTCCTACAGGAACTTCCATGTTTGGAATGACTGCTGGATGGCTCGTTCGGATCTGCCTCCTGGTATGGGTGGCTGGCAGGCCGTGGATTCCACACCCCAGGAGACCAGTCATGGGACGTTCCGCTGCGGCCCGGCGTCACTGGCCGCTATCCGCTCTGGACAGGTGTACCTAAAATTCGACACACCTTTCGTCTTCGCTGAGGTGAGTCCAGACACATCAATGTTAAAGGGGTCATATGATGTTGCTAAAAAGAACATTATTTTGTGTATTTGGTGTAATGAAATGTGTTTATGTGGTTTAAGGTTAAAAAAACACATTATTTTCCACATACTGTACATTATTGTTTCTCCTCTATGCCCCGCCTTTCTAAAACTCGTCGATTTTTACAAAGCTCATTGGTCTGAAAAGCGAGGTGTGCTCTGATTGGCCAGCTATCCAGTGCGTTGTGATTGGCCGAATACCTCAAGCGTGTGACGGAAATGTTACGTCCCTTACCATACTGTGATGCCCTGTCCGGCCGGAGCGACGAGACAAAAACATTAAAACCCATTACAAACGAGGCATTTGTTGCATCCAGTGGGGACATAATTACGTATTATAATGACTTATACTGTCTTTTTACGTGTTGCGTTGCATCACGCCGCGTAAACATAAAACCATGTCTGCATTTGTGATCGGAGAAATGACAAACACAAGCCCTACTCTACACTGCTCAAAACTCACATTTGAATCATCAGTGGCACATTCTTTAAATATGGAAACATACTTGTAGGTTCAGGAAGTGTTTTATTTGTGTGTGTGTATTTCTATTTGGCTTTTAATTTTTTTTATCTCTGTTTTAGTCCTTTTTATACTTTTTTAGTCATTTTATACTAATTTTTAACAACTTAAATCTTACTTCATTTGAGTTAGTTGCCAAGGCAACATTTGTAATTGTTGTAAGTTTTTCTTCTAATATTCATATATTCATTCTTTAAATATGGAAACATACTTGTAGTTTCAGGAAGTGTTTTATTTGTGTGTGTGTATTTCTATTTGGCTTTTAATTTTTTTATCTCTGTTTTAGTCCTTTTTATACTTTTTTAGTCATTTTATACTAATTTTTAACAACTTAAATCTTACTTCATTTGAGTTAGTTGCCAAGGCAACATTTGTAATTGTTGTAAGTTTTTCTTCTAATATTCATATATTATTGCATTTCAGCTTTATTTGATAACCCAAAATGTATTTTTAATAGTTTTTGGTAACAGTTATAACACTGGACATCACATTTTCGTAAGTTTTCTAGTCCTATTGGATAGAATCACCTTGCTTTCATTTTGTCTCATTAATTAAGAAAAATAAATTGCTGTTTCATTCTGAGTATATCACAGTACAGAAGATAAAAGACTTGTGGATGCTGTTAAATGTGAATATACTACAGGATAGACCGGTCCTGATGTGCTGGCATTCCTTGTTATTTTTTTTCTTTATACCCTCTGTAAGATTCAGTTTGAAACCTGCATTTATCTTGACAGTCATGTCTCTTTGAAGGAGTTTCAGCTTTAAACCTTGTGCTTTTTCTGCTGCAGGTGAACAGTGATAAGATCTACTGGCAGAGGAACCTGGACAGCACCTTCAGTCAGATCCACAGTGAGAAGAAAGCTGTCGGTCACTGCATCAGCACTAAGGCGGTGGGCTCCGACGAGCGGGTCGACATCACACACCTTTACAAATATCCTGAAGGTGAGAAACACACACTCTTTCACACATTTTAAACATCAATCTCAGTGTCTCGTTTTGCCTGTACCCATCAGAAACACATGAAATACAGACTAGCAGCTGTCAAAAGAAGAGGCCCTGAGCAAATATTACTTAATATACCAGGGCCAATATGTACATAATGATGAAATAACGTGATGTTAAAATTATGAGAACACTCGTATGAGAAATATATTTTAATATGAGTGAATCTCACAAAAACTGTGAAGAAATGTCATATTACTACCGCAAATCAAAAGAAAAAAAGAAATACATTTTGCTTAAACATTATTTTTTTACATTGCGATTTTCTTTAATAAAAAAGCTTTATTATACAAGATGTTATTTAAATTATTTTAATGTATTATTTATTATAACACAATTTTTTATTGAATATACATGAAAATATATACATAAAAAAAGAAAATGATTTATTAGCAAATAGAAAAATAATAAAAATATTTTTTTTTACCTTTAGGGAACAATATAATCTTTCTTTGTGAGATGTATCCATACAATCAGGAGTTAAATTCATGTTCTTTGTCAATGCTGTCTTACAAGAGCATATAACACCGAGCAGAAGTGATGGCTAGGACAGAAAACACAATACCCGTTTGAATCAGCGATAAACGGCTTAACTTTCCTCTGCCATAATCACTCAGCCTTTTCACCAAAATACCTGTCATTATCTCCAAACGGGTAGTTTAAACTTAACCGAGTTCCACCCACTCAGCTACACACAAATATAAACAAACGAGACAATAGACTTAAAGGGACAGTTCACCCAAAAATAAAAATTCTCTCATCATTTACTCACCCTCAACTTGTTCCAAACTTGTATGAGTTTCTTTATTCTACTCAACAGAAAAGTGTACATTTCGGAAAATGTGGGATATATGTACATTCCTTTTTTTAATCCGTCACATCAGACTCGGAGGAGGAGCGTATCGCCGTGGAAACCGCCTGTCGCTATGGCAGTAAACCCGACGTCTACTCCAGTCCCATTGCTGAGGACTTGCGGGTGGAGGTGATGATGGAGGGAGAAGGTCCACGCATGGGAGGAGACGCTCAGCTGAAGATCGTGGTGAAGAACACCAGCTCTCAGCCGCGCAGAACCACCCTCCACAGCCAGGTGGCGGTCATGTACTACACCGGCATTCTGAAGGACACCGTGAAGAAGGACACGCTTAATGTGGAGCTCAAGCCACAGGAAGGTGAGTTTGGGTTTATTCGGAATGGCGTACTAGCATACTATTCATACTACAGTTAACTATGCAAACTGTGGGCAGTATATGATGAAAGCTTTTTCTGCCATGAAATAAAAATATAAAAAAGGTAATTGCAACCTATTATCTCACAATTCTGACTTTTACTGTATATATATATATATATATATATATATATATATATACACACACACACACACACACACAATTGAACGTTACACACTATTT